ACGATCCTTTGTGGCCGAGCGGTCAAGGCACATCAGCGTAAATGACGGTTCCGTATAGGGTGCAGGTTTGAATCCTGTCAAAGGACGAATATTTTCTATGAAAATTACTCGGACATTCAGGACGGTAAATGTTATTTAATACTGTTTATTATAAACAGAGCATTTACTTAAATACTTGTATCTATAAAAAGAACGTTAAACATAAAAATGTCTTTTATATATATATATATATATATATATATATATATATATATATAGTGTTCATTTGTAAGTGAAGAATTGATCAAATAATTAGAAACATGGACAAAGGACTAAAGGAACCAACTTCGAATACTAGTGGGAGTAGTTTGTGTCAATTTCTTTCAGTTTTTCTTTCTATAATTACCCAGATCAGGAAAAATTCCATTCTGATAGATTTGTGAAATCTGTTCCCTGTCAGAGGTTATGGTAGCAGAACCAAATCAGTAACTTTTTCTGGAGAAATACTATGAAAAAAACAATAAAAAAAAAACTGTTGTTCGCCAACGACCTAGTAGATCATGGCATAATTCGAGTTTAAATTGTGTGCGCATGCGTGTTTTTTGTGTCTTCGGCTGCGCATGCGTGTGTTCATCTGCGCATGCGTGTCTAATTATGCATATTTTTTCATCTTGCGCTGAGTGTATATGTTTCATTTTTATTTGTTTCTAATTGGGTTTAATCCGAAGCCAAGGTTCTTCCAGTTTGAACAGGTGATTGTTTTTTTTTTCTTTTTCTCCATGGCTCTTTATTTACGATTCGTTGACGTCAAACAGTCAGAAGTTTTAAGGCTCAGCCTCATTGAAGTCTCGTACATGGGACCGAGGCACGCGATATTTGGATGAGAATAATAATTTTTTATTTTTTGTATTTGTTTTATCTTATTTTATTTTTTCTTACCTGATTTTATCATTTTCTTTCTTTTTTCATTCTTCTTTTTCTGTCCTTTTTACAAATCTTTTTCATCTTTTCCTTTCAAGAATTGATTTCTGTTTCATTTTCCTTTCTTTTCATACTCTATTATTTCTTGAATATATATTTTATATATATATATATATATATATATATATATATATATATATATATGATAGTTGTATATTTAGGTAGCAATCCTTCGTTTATGCATGTTTCATTAGTTAATATTAGTTATTTAACAATATTAACTACAAAAAAACCACAATGTGCTAACCGTATTCGGAAATAAAAAAAACATCTCTATAACACACTAACACATACACATAATGCACACACTCAATTAACCTGAAAAACTGAATCATCCTTGATAATGGCTAAAGGTATAGCCGAAAGCGCTCGGAACTATAAAACATTTGGACAGTTTTTACACACTCTTTGTCCGGAAAAGAAAGCTCTTGTTTGAATACAAAGAAAAATTAAATAAAAGCTTTACCGTAATAGCTTGTCTGTCGTTTTTAACATGCATATATATATATATATATATATATATATATATACACAATTACAGGTGTGTGTGTGTGTATATATATATATATATATATATATATATATATATATACAAGTATATGATTTATTCTACATTCAACATCATCCTTTGATAAAATAGCAGAATTGTTTAAAACAAAATGGCAATTTTTGTACTGATTTTATAACATATTTATGTTATAATTTTCGAATAAATAATTATATATATATATATATATATATAGGGATAGATAGATAGATAGATAGAGAGGGAGAGAGAGAGAGAGAGAAAGAGCGATGAATAAATTGTCTAAATTACGTAAACGTGAAAATAATATTGACATCACATTTTAACTGATACATTTACCAAAATTACGCAAAAATATCTCGAAATATATATATATATATATGATAGCTGGCCACTCGTATTCGAGATTACCCGTCTACTAGGACGGCTAGCCAATCCATATTGCAGACTCGCTCGCTCAAGCACATTATTCGACGTTCACCACACGTGGTTTTTACTGCAACTATCTAAGCAGACATTAGTTACAGTTTATCTGTTATCTAGCATTATCAACAATTGAACAAGCCCAGCAAGCTCGGTCACGGTGACTTGTGGCTTTGTGCTAGCACAGCTAGAGTTCCGTCTACCCAATTTCATTCACAATTCTTGGGTCAACCCATGGTATGATTTTCAGCCACTTTCCACGTCCACTTCCAGATCGATAACATCTTCCACTTTAAATTTAGACACCCCAACCTTACCTTGACTTGACATCTGTGAATGTAACTGAGATATCGATACAAATTATTAACACCTTACACCCCTTTTCTTTAAACAATTGCTCTAGCCGTTACCATAGAAATTTTGATTTCAATAATGAATATACTTAAAAAACGCGTAAATTTCAGTAATAATTTATTCCAAAAAAAATTTCGCTTGAAGATGGAACAGAGCTTAGTACTTTAATTCAATTTAATTCAAATAATTATATTGAAGTTTTCGGCTCTTGTTTTGAAACATGAGAACTCTTATGTA